TTGTCGATTCCTCAATTTTTCAAAATTTCAGTTGTCGGAATTTTTCGATTTTTTGATGTTTCGATTAATCGATCTTTCAATTTTTCGACTTCTCGGTTTTAGATTTTTGAATTTACAAAGATTTCGATGCTTCGATTGGTCGATTTTTAAATTTTCAATTTATCAGGTTTTTAAATTTAAATTTTTCAATTTTGAATTTTCCCATTTTTCGATCTTGTAACTACATTTTTCGATATCTCAATGTTTCGATTTCGCGTTTTTTAAATTTTTCGATTTCCATCTCTCGATTTCTCAGTTTTTCGATTATTCAAGTTTCCAATTTCTCGATTTTTCATTTTTTCAAAATTTCGATTTTTTAATGTTTTGATTTCTCCATTTTTCAATTTTTTGATATTTGAAATTTTTCAGTTTTTCGATTTTTAAAATTTCTGATTCTATTTTTCAGACATTTCAGTTTTGGGATTTTTCAATTTCTCTATTTATCATTTTTTTGATTTCCTAGTGTTGCGATTTCTCGACTTTTTTAACATTTCGATTTCCCGATTTTCAACTTTTTAATATTTTAATTTTACGATTTTTCGAATTTCCGATTTCTCGGTTGTACCATTAAATTTTTTTTCCACTTTACAATTTCGATTCTTTAAATTGTAGATTTTTCTTTTTCTCGATTTCCCGTATTATGATTTATTTTTCAGTTTTTCGATTTTCTTTTTTTTTAGATTTTTTGTTGTTTTGATTTCTCGATTTTTAAAATTGTCGATTCCTCAATTTTTCAAAATTTCAGTTTTCGGAATTTTTCGATTTTTTGATGTTTCGATTAATCGATCTTTCAATTTTTCGACTTCTCGGTTTTATATTTTTGAATTTACAAAGATTTCGATGTTTTGACTGGTCGATTTTTAAATTTTCAATTTATCAGGTTTTTAAGTTTAAATTTTTCAATTTTGAATTTTCCCATTTTTCGATCTTGTAACTATTTCGACATCTCAATGTTTCGATTTCGCGTTTTTTAAATTTTTCGATTTCCATCTCTCGATTTTTCAATTTTTCGTTTCTTCAATTTTTCAAGTTTTTGAATTCCAGTTTTTTTAATTTCTCGTGTTATACTTTTTTGGTTTCATCATTTTTGATTTTATATTTTTACAATTTTACAATTTTTCCAAATATTGAAAAACCCAAAAACCGAAAAATTGAAGAAACGAAAACGTCAAAAAATTAATTTCGATTTTTCAGGTTTATGATTTTTAATTATTTTTTCAATTTTCGACTTTTTGGTTTCTCGATTTTTCATTTTTTCAAAATTTCGATTTTTTAATGTTTCGATTTCTTCATTTTTCAATTCTTCGATGTCTCAGTTTTGGGATTTTTCGACGTTTCAATTTTTCGATTTTTAAAATTTTTTATTCTATTTTTCAGACATTTCAGTTTTGAGATTTTTCAGTTTCTCTATTTATCATTTTTTTGATTTCATAGTGTTGCGATTTTTCGACTTTTGATTTTTTTAACATTTCGATTTTCCGATTTTCAACTTTTTAATATTTTAATTTTACGATTTTTCGTATTTCCGATTTCTCGGTTGTACCATTAAAATTTTTGTTCCACTTTTCAATTTCGATTCTTTAAATTGTAGATTTTTCTTTTTCTCGATTTCTTGTATTTTGATTTATTTTTCAATTTTTCCATTTTTTTTTTAAATTTTACGATTTTTTGTTGTTTTGATTCCTCGATTTTAAAAATTTTCGATTCCTCAATTTTTCAAAATTTCAGTTTTCGGAATTTTTCGATTTTTTGATGTTTCGATTAATCGATCTTTCAATTTTTCGACTTCTCGGTTTTAGATTTTTGAATTTACAAAGATTTCGATGTTTTGATTGGTCGATTTTTAAATTTTCAATTTATCAGGTTTTTAAGTTTAAATTTTTCAATTTTGAATTTTCCCATTTTTCGATCTTGTAACTATTTCGACATCTCAATGTTTCGATTTCGCGTTTTTTAAATTTTTCGATTTCCATCTCTCGATTTTTCAATTTTTCGTTTCTTCAATTTTTCAAGTTTTTGAATTCCAGTTTTTTTAATTTCTCGTGTTATACTTTTTTGGTTTCATCATTTTTGATTTTATATTTTTACAATTTTACAATTTTTCCAAATATTGAAAAACCCAAAAACCGAAAAATTGAAGAAAAGAAAACGTCAAAAAATTAATTTCGATTTTTCAGGTTTATGATTTTTAATTATTTTTTCAATTTTCGACTTTTCGGTTTCTCGATTTTTCATTTTTTCAAAATTTCGATTTTTTAATGTTTCGATTTCTCCATTTTTCTATTCTTCGATGTCTCAGTTTTGGGATTTTTGGACGTTTCAATTTCTCGATTTTTCAATTTTTCGATATTTAAAATTTTTCAGTTTTTCGATTTTAAAAATTTTTGATTCCATTTTTCAGACATTTCAGTTTTGGGATTTTTCAGTTTCTATATTTATCATTTTTTTGATTTCATAGTGTTGCGATTTTTCGACTTTTTTAACATTTCGATTTCCCGATTTTCAACTTTTTAATATTTTAATTTAACGATTTTTCGAATTTCCGATTTCTCGGTTGTACCATTAAATTTTTTTTCCACTTTTCAATTTCGATTCTTTAAATTGTAGATTTTTCTGTTTCTCGATTTCTCGTATTTTGATTTATTTTTCAGTTTTTCGATTTTCTTTTTGTTAGATTTTTTGTTGTTTTGATTCCTCGATTTTAAAAATTTTCGATTCCTCAATTTTTCAAAATTTCAGTTTTCGGAATTTTTCGATTTTTTGATGTTTCGATTAATCGATCTTTAAATTTTTCGACTTCTCGGTTTTAGATTTTTGAATTTACAAAGATTTCTATGTTTTGATTGGTAGATTTTTAAATTTTCAATTTATCAGGTTTTTAAGTTTAAATTTTTCAATTTTGAATTTTACCATTTTTGGATCTTGTAACTACATTTTTCGATATCTCAATGTTTCGATTTCGCGTTTTTTAAAATTTTCGATTTCCATCTCTCGATTTCTCAGTTTTTCGATTATTCAAGTTTCCAATTTCTCGATTTTTCATTTTTTCAAAATTTCGATTTTTTAATGTTTTGATTTCTCCATTTTTCAATTTTTTGATATTTGAAATTTTTCAGTTTTTCGATTTTTAAAATTTTTGATTCTATTTTTCAGGCATTTCAGTTTTGGGATTTTTCAATTTCTCTATTTATCATTTTTTTGATTTCCTAGTGTTGCGATTTCTCGACTTTTTTAACATTTCGATTTCCCGATTTTCAACTTTTTAATATTTTAATTTCACGATTTTTCGAATTTCCGATTTCTCGGTTGTACCATTAAAATTTTTTTCACTTTTCAATTTCGATTCTTTAAATTGTAGATTTTTCTTTTTCTCGATTTCTCGTGTTTTGATTTATTTTCCAGTTTTTCGATTTTCTTTTTGTGAGATTTTTTGTTGTTTTGATTCCTCGATTTTAAAAATTTTCGATTCCTCAATTTTTCAAAATTTCAGTTTTCGGAATTTTTCGATTTTTTGATGTTTCAATTAATCCATCTTTCAATTTTTCGAGTTCTCGGTTTTAGATTTTTGAATTTACAAAGATTTCGATGTTTTGATAGGTCGATTTTTAAATTTTCAATTTATCAGGTTTTTAAGTTTAAATTTTTCAATTTTGAATTTTCCCATTTTTCGATCTTGTAACTATTTCGACAACTCAATGTTTCGATTTCCCGTTTTTAAAATTTTTCGATTTCCATCTCTCGATTTTTCAATTTTTCGTTTCTTCAATTTTTCAAGTTTTTGAATTCCAGTTTTTTTAATTTCTCGTGTTATACTTTTTTGGTTTCATTATTTTTGATTTTATATTTTTACAATTTTACAATTTTTCCAAATATTGAAAAACCCAAAAACCGAAAAATTGAAGAAACGAAAACGCCAAAAAATTAATTTAAGATTTTTCAGGTTTATGATTTTTAACTATTTTTTCAATTTTCGACTTTTCGGTTTTTCGATTTTTCATTTTTTCAAAATTTCGATTTTTTAATGTTTCGATTTCTCCATTTTTCAATTCTTCGATGTCTCAGTTTTGGAATTTTTCGACGTTTCAATTTCTCGATTTTTCAATTTTTCGATATTTAAAATTTTTCAGTTTTTCGATTTTTTTAATTTTTGATTCCATTTTTCAGACATTTCAGTTATGAGATTTTTCAGTTTCTCTATTTATCATTTTTTTGATTTCCTAGTGTTGCGATTTTTCGACTTTTTTAACATTTCGATTTCCCGATTTTCAACTTTTTAATATTTTAATTTCGAATTTCGGATTTCTCGGTTGTACCATTAAATTTGTTTTCCACTTTTCAATTTCGATTCTTTAAATTGTAGATTTTTCTTTTTTTCGATTTCTCGTATTTTGATTTATTTTTCAGTTTTTCGATTTTCTTTTTTTTAGATTTTTTGTTTTGATTCCTCGATTTTTAAAATTTTCGATTCCTCAATTTTTCAAACTTTTAGTTTTCGGAATTTTTCGATTTTTTGATGTTTCGATTTTTGGCGTTTCTAAATTTTTGGATTTTTCGTTTTCTTAATTTCTCGATTAATCGATTTTTTTATTTTCCGATTTTTCTTGTTTTTTTTTATTTTTTTACATACTCACTAGATTTTTCAAAATTTTGCGAGTTTTTAAATCTTACATTTTTCAAGAATTTCATCTATTCGATATTTTCATTCTTGGATTTTCGGATTTTTTAGATTTTTAAAATTCCCGATTTTTCATTTTTAGGTATTGACAATATTTTGTTTTCTGAAAAATCGAGATATCAAAAAACTGAAAAATTATTCCGAAAAATCGAAAAATCTAAAAACGAGAAGGCAAAAAATTGAAAGATTGAGAAATCGCAACAACATAAAAGTGAAAAATCTGAAATTCGTCCGTTTTATTCTACTTGAGTGTTTAGGGAATTATGGCAGAGAGAATAGTACGTACCATGCGACATGGAGCTGTCATGTCCAGAGCGGCACAATAACCTCCAACGTGGTTCATTGCTTCGTCTTCCGAAATATGTTTACCCTTTTTACCGATGACTACACCTAGTTCAATTTCTTGGTTCACGGTAAACCCATGTGGTATCTGAAATTATTTTACAAAATTTGCGTTACGGTCCTGCCGTTCTGGCACACAAAGAACTGAAGCGGGTCCTGTCTGAGTGTCTACCGGAAACGTGACGTCAGCAAGACAGTTGATTCGTCGATGATTATTTGTAATTTTACGGGTATTTGTATTTTTTCAAATAAATTTTAATTAAAGTAAAAAGTTTGCTCACCAAAATTGGTTGTCCTTCTGTGATGTAACTACTCGTCGGTTTTAAAAAAATCTCGGGGAGTTCTGGAACAGGTCTTTCGAGTATTTTCAGCAACGACCTAAAATTCACGAATTATGATCTTATTGTACCGCAAGAGGGTTAAAATTACTTGTAATTTGCAGCCACACCGATAATTTTCTTTCCGTTCCGAACGAACTGACTCAAGTCCGTCATGCTTCCGCCGCTTACGTAAACCCTGCGATTCGAACTTGGCGCCTTCGCTGACGCTAGGGAATTTCGCGTTGTCACCAGAATGGTAGCTATTTTTCACCAATCGCCCATTCTACAAGTGAAATGGGTTTGTGAGCTTCGCTTGTTGGTTCATTCGCATTGTTGGGGTTTCGCGAAGGTCCAGCGAGTGTATTTAGTGCTTCAGAACTCGTTGATGCCCTTCCGAACAATAATGTGGCAGTGATACTGTACCGATCTTGAACCCGCAGAAGTAAAGAGTACAGCTTTTCCCATGATGATGGAAACAGACAAAATCGACGATTCCAACACAAATTCGCAAGTAAGTACACATTTTCGCGCATAAACCGGCAAAAAGTGCAAATTGCGTGGTCGTCCAGCGCTACGTGTGCCCGCAGTTCCTGTCAAAAATACAAAGTGATTGACACAATTTCGCGGATTTGTCAGCGCGATAACAATTTTTATCGAACTTTATTCTTCGCCAGGCGAAGTCCGTTATCTGTGCCCGATCGTGCTCAGACCTGGCATGACAGGCCGCTAAATGCAGAAATTGTTCTTTGTCGTAAAGATGGGGGTACTTGACCTTTAGCCGTAATGGCACTATTCAACGATAAACAATGCGTTTACCGTAAACGGGGAAGAAGGGGGCGCTTTCGGTCGGTCGCCACCCGAAAGAAAGTTCGTGTTGTTCTTTTGCGAAAAGTAAAATCTTAAATTAATGAGTACATCATCGAATAATGCGACTTTCTCTCGGTGGTCGTAACAGTCGGTTTGCTTGCTGCTAGCTGTGCGGCTGATAACCTGAGGTATCGTTATTAAGGTAATTGTCTTTGTTGTGCGGTTGGTCGTTTCCTAATAAGTGTTTGAAAACATCTTTCTTATCAAGGAAATGACGCAGTGAGGTCGACGGGTTTTTGCATGGTAATACGGTAAAGTGGTGACAATGAAGCTGCTAGTCGGACGCTGAAAACTAAAGCAAACAGATCTGTGATACAAAAGTGTGGTATATGGTACTTGGATTTAGTGTGTACAGAACTTTCGTTTTAGTTTGTTTCAAAAGTGATCATTTGTTGATTGGCTGTTCATAGGAAATTATACTGGTAGGTCGCTCATTAACAGGTGTTCGGGATGTTTTTAATACTACGATTGTGATTGGTCGATGTGAATGCTTGTATGGCTTAGCACTGCACCAAAATGTAAAGGTATAACTCGTTTATTTTCAAACACTGACGTTTCACTAACTTTAAAAGTTTTTTTATTTAAATTCTTTCTTATGTGTAAGTAACTTGCCGGTTTTATGGTCTGTGAAGTGATTATGGAGCGGATTTACTCGTTTCTCGGTAGATTCGTCCCTTACTACCGCTCAGGGCCGTATTCCGCAATCGAGTCGATTCAACAAATAGTTTTTGTTAAAGGCAAAGTTAAAAAAATAGCCACAACTGAAAAACTGGCGTTCAATGGCATTTTATAGCAGATATTAAAAAAAACGTGTTGTTTATATGCTCATTTTTCAATGTCTTATACTTATTAATTATTAGAAATCGAAAAAAAGTCAAACACCATAGTTGTACGGTTCTTCGGAGAGTATACTCTAAAATTATTTTTTATTCGAGAATATCTAAAAATGTAATATAAAATAAAGTATAGATTAATGACTAATGAGATGTCGAGGTCCCCTTCCAAAGTTGATGACGCCATCTAAAAAATTATTCATTGAAAAATATGCTCTGTAATGTATCTTGGTATCGCATTATTATTCCGCGTTGTTAGCTGTCATCGATTAAATTTGAGGTTAATTGTAGACAAACTTCACAGTGTTTGCAAAAAATCAAAGCCAACTCGATGATGTTCTTCTTTACATTAATCACAAGTTTTTCATCTTCTTTCATTTTGCAAATTTCCGTTTCTTCAGTTTTTCAAGTTCTTGATTTTTATTTATCATTTTGTCGAGTTTATATCACAGTTTTTCGTTTTTTCAGTGTTTCTTTCGATTTTGTAATTTTTCGGTTAATCAATTTTAAAATTTTCGATCTTTGATGTTTTAGTTCATTTTCCGATTTTAAAATTTTTCAATTTTGCAATTTTTGGATTTTTTAGTTATCCGATTTTTGTTTTTTCGATTTTACACTTTTTCGATTCATCAATTTTTCAAATTCTGGATTTCAAATTTTTAGATTGGAAAACTAAAAATTGAGAAACTGAAAAAATCAAAAAAAAATAATGAATCGAAAATTTAATTTTTAGACATTTCAGTTTAGAGATTTTTCAATAGGTATTTTGATTCTTCAATTTTTAGGCTCCGGTTTTTTTCGTTTTAAAATGTTAGATTTTTCGATTTTTTAGTATTTCCTCAGTTTTTCGACATTTTAATTTTTCAATTTTTAAAATTCCAAATTTTGCGATTTTTCAATTGTTGCAATTTTTAAATTCTAGATTTTTCAGTTTTTCCATGTTTCAAAACTAAACTTAATTTTTCTTCCATTTTCCTTATTTCAGTTTTGTTTTTTTTTTAATATTTCAATTTTTCTATTTTTAAACATATCGATTTTTCAATTTTTCCATTTTTAAACATCTATTTTTCAATTTTTCCATTTTTAAACATATCGATTTTTCGATGTTTCGTTTTCTCGATTCTTCAATCTTTCGATTCCCTTTTTTTTGATATTTTAATTTTTCAATTTTCCTTCCATTTTTCGATTTTTCAATTTTTGATTTTTAAATATTAGATCTTTCAATGTTTCGATTTTTTGATGTTTCCACATCCCGATTCTTCAATTTTTCGATATTTAATTTTTCTAGGTTCATTTTAGTTTTGAGGTTTTTCAATATTTGATTCTTGAATTTTTAGGCTCCGATTTTTTTATTTTAAAATTTAGAATTGTTCGATTTTTTTAGTATTGTTTCAGTTTTTCGACATTTTAACTTTTCAAAAATTCAAAATTTTCGATTTTTCAGGGTTTCGATTTTTCAATTGTTTCAATTTTTAGATTTTTTGATTTTTCAATTTCTCGATTCTTAATTTTTCTCCCATTTTTCTTATTTCACTTTTGGGATTTTTTTAATGTCAATTTTAAACATATCCATTTTTTTTAGTTTTCTAGTTTCGTTTTTTCGAATCTTCAATTTTACGATTTTTCACTTTTCGATTTTTTTATGTTTCCACGTCTCGACTCTTCGATTTTTCGATATTTAATTTTTCCATGTTTATTATTTTAGGTTTTTCGGTTTCTAAATATTTTGATTTTTCAAATCTTCGGTTTTTCGATTTTGCGAATTTTTAAATTTTAGATTTTTGAGTTTTTTTAGGTTTCTTATCTTTCGAGTTTTCGACTTCAGGATTTTAAGTTTTTCGGTTTTTCAATTTCTAAAATTGAATTGTTATTTTTTCAGTGTTCCTTTCGATTTTATAATTTTTTAGTTAATCATTTTTTAAAATTTTCAATTTTTTAGTTCAGCATTTTAAAAGTTTTCAGTTTTGCAATTTTTGGATTTTTTCAATATATCCGATTTTCCGATTTCTTTAATTTTCGGTATTTAGGTTTTACAATACATATTTCGTTTTTTCGAGGTTGCACTTTTTCGATTTTTAAGTTTCTCAATTTTTAATCTTCCGATTTTTCAATTTTTCGATTCTTCAGTTTTTCAAGTTCTTGATTTAAATTTTTTAGATTTTTCAAAGTTTTTATACTTTTTCGTTTTTTAAATCTGAATTTACACTTTTGCAAATTTTTCCATTTTTTTTTATTCGAAAAATTGAGAAAAAAAGTCGTAAGATCGAAAAAGCGCAAATCCAAGAACTCAAAAAATGAAAAATTGAAAGATTGGAGAACTAAAAATTGAGAAACTTAAAAAAGAAAAAAAAAAAAGAATCGAAAATTCAATTTTTCGACATTTCAGTTTTGAGATTTTTCAATATTTCTTCAATTTTTAGGCTCCGATTTTTTCATTTTAAAATGTTAGATGTTTCGATTTTTTAGTATTTTTTCAGTTTTTCGACATTTTAATTTTTCAATTTTTAAAATTCCAAATTTTTTGATTTTTCAGGTTTTCGATTTTTCAATTCTTGCAATTTTTAAATTCTAGATTTTTCAATTTTTTCATGTGAAACCGCTCTTTCGATTTTTTGACTTCTCGGTTTTAGATTTTTCAATTTCTCGATTCGTAATTTATCTCCCATTTTTCTTATTTTTAGTTTTGGGTTTTTTCGATTTTTCAATTTTTTGATTTTTTAATATCAGATCTTTCAATGTTTCTTCGATTTTTTGATGTTCCGACGACCCGATTCTTCAATTTTTCGATATTTAATTTTTCTATGTTTAGTATTTAACTTTTTCGATTTGTCAATATTTTCATTTTTCAAATCTTCGGTTTTTCAATTTTACGAATTTTTAAATTTTAGATTTTTGAGTTTTTTTGTTGCTATCTTTCGAGTTTTCGACTTCAGGATTTTAAATTTTTCGATTTTTCAATTTTTACAATTGAATTGTTATTTTTTCAGTGTTCAAGTTTTAAAATTTTTCGGTCTTTGATTTTCAGTTCAGCATTTTTAAATTTTTCAGTTTTGCAATTTTTGGATTTTTTCAGTTTATCCGATTTTCCGATTTCTTTAATTTTCAGTATTTAGGTTTTACAATACATATTACGTTTTTTCGAGTTTGCACTTTTTCGATTCTTCAATTTTTCAGATTTTTAAAAATTTTTATACTTTTTCGTTTTTTATTTCTGAATTTACACTTTTGCAATTTTTCCATTTTTTTTTATTCGAAAAATTGAGAAATCGAAACAAAACAAAAAAAAAACGAAAAAATGCAAATCGAAGAACTGCAAAAATGAAAAAGGAAATGAAATGAAACATTGGAAAACTAAAAATTTGGAAACTTAAAAATTAAAAAAAATTAATGAATCGAAAATTTTTGAAGAAGAAAGAACGAAACAAATCGAAAAATTGGAAAGTCCAAAAACTGTACCATTGAAAGATCGAAAAATTGAAAAATTAAATATAGAGAAATTGAAATATTGAAAAGTCGAATAATAGAAACAGTTTTAAAATCCAATAAAAAAAGATGGAAAAATTCTAAAATCGTAAAATTGAAAAAGTGAAAAATTTTAAAAAACATTATCACATACTTAAAAAGAAAACTAGAAAAATTCAATTTTTCGACATTTCAGATTTGAGGTTTTTCAATATTTGATTCTTGAATTTTTAGGGTCCGATTTTTTTATTTTAAAATTTAGAATTGTTCGATTTTTTTAGTATTGTTTCAGTTTTTCGACATTTTAACTTTTCAAAAATTCAAAATTTTCGATTTTTCAGGGTTTCGATTTTTCAATTGTTTCAATTTTTAGATTTTTTGATTTTTCAATTTCTCGATTCTTAATTTTTCTCCCATTTTTCTTATTTCACTTTTGGGATTTTTTTAATGTCAATTTTAAACATATCCATTTTCCAATTTTTCGATGTTTCGTTTTTTCGAATCTTCAATTTTTCGATTCCTTATTTTTTTTGATATTTTACTTTTTCAATTTTTCTTCAATTTTACGATTTTTCACGTTTTCGGTTTTTTGATGTTTCCACGTCCCGGTTCTTCGATTTTTCGATATTTAATTTTTCCATGTTTATTATTTTAGGTTTTTCGGTTTCTAAATATTTTGATTTTTCAAATCTTCGGTTTTTCGATTTTGCGAATTTTTAAATTTTAGATTTTTGATTTTTTTTTTATGTTTATATCTTTCGAGTTTTCGACTTCGGGATTTTAAATTTTTCGGTTTTTCAATTTCTAAAATTGAATTGTTATTTTTTCAGTGTTCCTTTCGATTTTATAATTTTTCGGTTAATCAATTTTTAAAATTTTCGATCTTTGATTTTTCAGTTCATCATTTTTAAATGTTTCAATTATACAATTTTTGGATTTTTTTCAGTTTATCCGATTTTCCGATTTCTTTGATTTTCAGTATTTAGGTTTTATAATACATATTAGGAGTACGTTTTTTTGCAATTGCACGCAAATTGCAAGTTCTTGATGTCAGTCGTTTTTTATTTCTGAATTTACACTTTTGTAATTTTTCCATTTTTTTTTATTCGAAAAATTGAGAAATCAGA